TGAGAGAGAGAGAAGGTTTTAGAGAGAGAGAGGAGTTTTAGAGAGCTTTGAGAGGTGGGGGTTCCATAAAGAGGGGGTTTTAGAGAGAGAGAGGGGGTTTCACATTGAGAGAGAAGGTTTCAGAGAAAGCGAGAGAGGGGGTTTAGAGAGAGAGATTCAGAGTGGGGGTTTGGAGAGAGAGGGAGAGGGTTTACAGGGAGAGGGTTTCAGGGGGACAGAGAGAGAGAGGGGTCTCTGATAGAGAGAGTGGGGGTTTGAGAGAGAGAGAGAAGGTTTTAGAGAGGGGTTTTAGAGAGCTTTGAGAGTAGGAGGGGTTCCATAGAGAGGGGGGTTTTAGAGAGAGAGAGGGGGTTTCACGTAGAGAGAGCAGGTTTCAGAGAGAGCGAGAGAGGGGCTTTAGAGAGAGAATTTCAGAGAAAGGGGGTTCAGAGAGAGAGGGAGAGGGTTTGCAGAGAGGGGAACTTCGAGAGAGTGAGAGACATTGGCCACGTGGGCAAAAGCCTCTCCCTCTATATTGTTATTAATAAAATAGCTTTGTTTTTTTGTTCTTCTTTTTTTGGGGGTGGGGATGGGGACTTTGGACACTGGTAAATTTGGAGTTATATATGGACCAATTAGATCTTAACGACAAAAAAATAAAATAAAGACCTATATTTGGGTTGGGACGGGCCTAGACCCAGGGCCAGATTGAAAACATATTTTTCGGGCCGGCTCGGGCTGACCCGTGCTTCATAATGATTTTGGGCCAGGTTTAAAACTATGAACTTCGGGCCGGCCAAAAAATGTTTTGGGCTTGATCGGGCTCGAACCCGGCACAGTGGCAGCCCTAACTATATGGGTTTGATGCTGGTTTAATTCATCAAAAGACCACGTTGATGAGCATAATTGTCTCATAATAACAAGTTACTGTGTTTAAAATCACTGATTTGCTACAACAATTCATAAACCCTTGCATTATTTTTCTTTTGGTAATAAGAATCAGAGGCTACGTGCCATAAATCCTTGGAGGTATTGTAGGTCATAAAGGATCGACTCATATTAAGCTGCATAGAAAAGAGTATCCAATTTATAATAGCCATAGCTTCAGCCTCCCAGTCTGCATATTTAGTATCCTTCAGGTCTGGTTTTTCGACATGACCGTCAATGTATCCTAGGTCTTTTCTTTCCACCCAAAAATAGTCTAACCGACCTAGCCCATTCTCAATAGTTGGTTCCATCAAACCTAACTGTGGTGATCATAGATTCAAAAAGCGCTAGGCGGCACCCAGACGGCCATGGGGGTCCAGACTACCCAACGCCTAGGAGGGCACCCAGAACCTGGGCGGCTGAGTTGAATTTTGATAATCCATAAGACCATAATCCCAGTTGCAACAAAAAAAGATAGAAGTCGAGAAGAGAATTTTGATAATCCATAAGACCTTAATCCATATTTTTATACAATGCTAAAAGCCTAAAATAGTAAAACCATAGTCTGATACACTGTAGACTGTACACACAATAGTTAGATAGTAGAATTAGAAACTGAAAATAAGAAAAAGAAAATATACAGAAATTTAGAAAATATACAGACTACAGTCTAGGACACAATAGTCAATACTCAACAATCAACACTCAACAACAAGAGTCTTCAGTCATCATCATCATCATCATCAGAAGGAATAGGGTAAGCCTCATCATATACATCAGATTCGAGGCCATCATCATCAGAGTCATCTCTCTCTTCAATATAACGCTCGTCCTCCTCTGTTTCTTCTGAATATGCATCTTCCTCTTCTTCTACCTCCATGTTACTAGTATCTGCAGATGAGGCCTTAGAAGTCTTGGTTGCTCTACGTTTTTCTATCTTTTTGTGCTTCCCTAAACGCAAATGTTGTATAATCTCCTCCCTAGTAGCTTCAGGGACATTTTTACACGGGGCAACATCCCCCTTAATACCGGCAAGGTGTTTTATAAACCGGTAAATGCCCGCATTAGTATCCTTTCTACAATAATTACATTTAATACGATTTTTGTCATTCAGATTAGGGTTATAACCAAACTTCCAACTTGGATCACTACATCTAAAAGAACCTGAAGAAGATATTTCCATAGAACAAGGCTCAATTTCATCATTTTCTGGTTCTTTTAAATTCAAAAATTGTTTAATCTCATTCCGAATAGCTTCATGAACCTTTTTACAAGACGCAACGTTCCCTTTAATACCAGCAAGGTGTTTCTTGATTCAGTTTGATATATTTTTCACAAAAATTATACCTTATACAATTTTTATTGTTTGGTTTTTGTGTTATAACGATACTTCTAACCCGGATTACTTCTTCTAGAAGAAGCATAAATAGATTTATTCAAATGACAAGGATTTTGTTCCTGATTTTGTTTTACATATCTCATATATTGCTTAATCTCCTCTCTAATATCTTCAGGAACATTTTTACAAGAGGCAACATTCCCCTTAATACTGACAAGATGTTTCTTAGACCGGTTTATGCCCCCTTTTGTATATTTTTCACATTAATTGCATCTAATGCAATTTTTGTCATTTGGATTTGAGTTATATCCATATTTCCAACCTGGATCTCCACTTTAACTAGATCCTGAAGAAGATATCTCAAAATAAAGCAAGCAATCTAAAATATAATGTTTTGCACTTATTTTGATTGCTTGAACTCCAACTCCCACCTCTGAGATATTTTCAGGTGCTAAAATAATAGAAAACACCCTGTAATAAGATTATAAAACTCCAAAACTAAATCCAATCTACCTAGGTGATGTTTGGATCCATTTTTCATAACTTTGTGACGCACTTTGATCAAATGAAAATCACAAAATTTAGTTTCTTTGAAGTTTTTTTCTCCACGGTACCTCATCTTGTAGGTGCCTAGTTAAGTCGTCCATAACTAAGACAAAGAGGTACGGGCTCGCTGACCCTTGATGTAGATCTATTGTCACTGAAAACTCATTCATCTCTCCACTAGCGGTTTGTACACTAGTAACCGCTCCATCGTACATATCTCTCACCAAGTCGATGTAGTGTTTAAGGACGCCTTTCTCTTCCAACACCCGCCAAATCAAATCTCGAGGTACTCTATCATAAGCTTTTTCTAGATCAATAAAGACCATGTGGAGGTCTATCATAAGTTTTCTCTAGATTAATAAATATTAAGTAATAACCCTAATTACAACTTATGGATAATACTGCCCTTATGTGGAGACACAAGACAAATAAGGGCTAAACAAAAAATAAATGCAGTTCTGTCCATCAAATACAATAAGCTTATTCCTTTTACTTCTAGCATTTTGTACATCGAAGGGGATAATAGGACTATAAGATGTGCCCAGCATAGGACATTATCTTCACTTGCTTTTGCCTTTTTACTTGTAAAAAGCCTTTCTTCTACCATTTGATGTTATGGATTACAATTTGTGGCATGTCATGTTTGGCTACACCTTCTCCAACCTGCTGAAGAGCTGTGATGCTCAAGAATATTTATGAATGTGAACAATGTCTGCAAGGTCCTCCACTATCGTGCAATATAATTAAATGGTATACTAGTATACATAAATAACTGAATAAGTTTATATAAGGTTGCAACCTTAAAATGTAGAATTAAATGTACACCTAAAAAATCCATCATAAAAGGTTGTTTGGATGTTGGAAAACCTTCTAATTGATCATCTCAACATCGAGATGTACAAATATGAAAAGAAAAAAAGATTTCGAGTCTGTAACATAGTGTATCTTGCAACACATTATTTGGATCGTCAATTTTCATGATTTTCATGTGTTTATAGATCTACTTGATTTGAACCATTTTTAGAATTTAAAAGTTTATAATTAGAGATGAACATAGATTCTCAAGCCATCCTAAGAATTTTTTATTTCAAAATTACATTTATGATAAAATTTAGAGGTGCACTTAATTAGATTGTTTAAGGTTGCAACCATATGCAAACCACACCCATAATTAAATGGTATATTAGAATATTGTTTAGAGACTATTGAAACCTTTTTATAGATCTATGTCATGTATTTATTTCACTACGATAGTTATTTAATTGATCAGTATGCTTTAGACTCATTTCATTTGCTTGCTATTTATTTTTTAGTAGTTTTGTGGTTAGGAACAATCTGATCCAATAGTTCCACAAATATCCTTCTTGTTCGATGGATATGTATTGCAGTCATTAGTTTTTAATCAGCACTGCAACGCAAATATTTAATCAGCACTGCAACGCAAATATTATGAATTTTTGAGTGTCTGTATTTCTGTGTGGAACATCATTTGAACTCTAGTTCGATTTTCCCAAAGATCTCATATTGATGTGATTCATAGGAGCATGACCTGCATTTGGCATAGGCAAATTCTTACCATTAGGCAGATCCAGTCATGTTTTGCCTGATCTTCATGATTACCTGTTGCGTTTTAGTTTCTTTTATGGTTATTTCTCCTTAAATGTGTTGGGACAAATTTGTGGATTTTGAATTGCAGATGATGTCCTTTTTTGCTCAAATTGTTGTTGTTTAGGATGACAGTTTTACTGGTCATGTGGTATAACTAGTGTAACTGACATTTGTTTTTGATACATGAAACATATATTTTATATTCCACTATAATCGTTGTCATGTTATGAGTTTTGACAGAATATAACTATCTTGATTTGTTTGAAATATGGCACTCATGCTCAATTCTTAAAATTTAGGAGCTTCTAAATAATTTTGGGAGCTTGTGTGGTTGCCTTTTACTTCTTCATCTAGAGGTTTCTACTTAAGATTCTTCCTATCATTGTTGGAGATCAATCTGCTGTCGGATCAATATTTGCAACACCTGATTTAGCTGGGCTTGAAAACCTGGCAAAAGGGTTTAGAAATATTTCCTTTTGGAGGCATTCACTAGTTTAGGGTCCAGTTCGCTAGAGACAATCCATGCTTCTTTGTTTCATTATGAAGCTCATTATGAATATCATGTGAATAACTGAATGACAATGGCAGTTGAAAGTTGCAGGTACGCCGTACAGACGTTCTTTCCGCTTGGAGTGGTATACGCCCATTGGCTATTGATCCATCAGCAAAAAATACTGAGAGCATTTCCAGGGATCATGTTGTGAGTGAAGAGTATCCTGGTCTGATCACAATTACTGGGGGAAAGTGGACTACCTACCGAAGGTTAAACAAAGTTATTTTATCTATTGGCATTTTGACAGTTAAAAATGAGTACAGTTTACATTTTGTTGATGCTTTTTCCTTGGACTTTTTTCTCTTGCTGACATATTTGAACATATAGAAATTTCAGATTAAAATAATTGTAAGCTATATAATTTGAAAAGAGAGGGTCCCTGGAAAGAGAAAAGGGGGGGCGGGGGGTGTGGTTTGGCTTCAGAAGGATGTTGTGTTTTGTCCAGCCGGGTGATAAGCTGTAGAATTGGGTGTTCCTAGAGTTCCTTTGGGTTTTTGTAGCACACCCTTTTGTTTTAGTAGATTAATAAAAAAATAAAGTCATTTGAGTAGGTTTTATTTTTTATTTTTTGGTTATCATTGCTCGAACCAGGCTCAGGTTGCTGTGTGGTTCAAGCTTTTCTTAATTACTCAAATAAGATAGAAGATAGAAGAGGCAAAACCTAGGTTCTTACCATCCTAGAGTTCCCTTTCTTACACATGCATAAGGAAAAGCAATAGAATGCATGTGTATGTAGAGATACTTTATTGATGCATTTATTTGTCTTTTATTTTGTGCATCACTTTGCATTCAATATTTTAATCTCAATGCCTTTATTTGCTTTCAGTATGGCTGAAGATGCAGTTGATGCTGCCATAAAATCTGGCAAACTCAACCCATCTGGTGACTGTATAACCAGTCGTCTTCACATTATTGGAGGAGATGGATGGGATCCTGCATCATTCACTGTGCTTGCACAGAAGTTTATACGTATGAAGAAGACATATGGTGGTAAAATTGTTCCAGGTGTAATGGACAGTGCAGTAGCCAAACATTTGGCACATGCATATGGAAGCATGGCTGATCGTGTAGCCACCATTGCTCAGGTTAGATTTTTCTCTCCATTATTCGTATATTTTGTTTTAGATGAGGTTACATTCCAATCACATTTTCCCCTAGTGTACATTTGTTTCCCTTCAGAATTTTCTTGCAGCTCATTAACTTTCGGGAATTTGAAGGGTTCTTCTGTATGACAATTTCCAAATCTCAATTATGTTATAGTCATTGCCATATTGGTACTGAAATATCAGAATTCATTATTATAGCACTCCTTTCTTTGCCTTACATTTTTGAGCTTATATATTTACGAAATGCCTTTGGCAACCCTTCTTTAAGGTATGTCAGATTTCTTCATTGATGTTCTGTAAACTACAGATGTTTTTTGGATAAATTTTAAACAATAGAATATTCTTGATGTGTATTTAAATATTTCTTAATCATAATTCTTACATCAAAGTTCTTTATTTAGAGGTGGTCATTTCACTTATTAGTCTTTACATTTTAGCATTAGAAACCAAGACCATAGTGCTTGGCTAGTCTTTACATTTCACTTATTAGTCTTTACATTTCTTAATCATAATTCTTACTCATGCACTATGCACTAGTCTAAGACCCCAAATCTAGGCTTCTCAGAAATTAGTGGGATGAAATGAGGGATAACCTAATATTTGTTATCAAAAGTAAATAATCTACTTTCCTCTATGGTCATGATTACAGTAGAAAAGGTCCACAGGTGTACTGTAAACAGGTGTATAGTTGTAAACACTGCCTGTGTTTTGTTTCCTCAATGAGTTGTGCAGGCAAAGTTGTCACCCCCTACAAGCTTTGCTATAATGAATTATCTATTCCTCAAAATATGAGCAGAATCCAATAAATAAGCACTGAAATAAGTAAAGACACCAAATTACCCTCAAAGGTTTGAGAGTAGATAATCAAGAGAGCGTATAGCACGATCCTGCTGAAGCATACTATGCACTTACTCCCTCGGGTGAAAGAGCTACTTACGAGAATCATTGAGATTTTGGGATCACCTATGGATAATTATTTTCAAAAAAATAAGAAGAATTTTGAATTCTTAAATACTCGGATCTGACTGCAAATATTGGATGGTCTTTGTCCAATCTTAGGATGTTATCGTTTTAGGCACACAGGTTTTTTTGTGTTTGGTTGAAGTGGTTACATCCTTAAAATTGCAGGCCTAAAATTACTCCTAGACTGGGTTTTACTTGAGGGAGTGAATGGAGGAAATGCTCCTATTGGATCGTAGAATCTATAATCAAAATGATGCTATGTATGAAAACTAAATGATCAATGTGAGTGCAATGTTCCAAGAACACAGGATTTACAGAGACACTCTAACACTGACCAGAACAAGATTGTTTTGATCAATATACAAGTGCTAACTCACTTTAACCTTTTGGATTCTGAGAAATCGCTACCTTGAACACTTCTGCTAAAACAGCTGGTCTATTCGAATGCCGTAAACAATAATCACCATGATGAGAAGTTCTATGCAAAAACCTATGCTTCATTTAGACCATGAATTACTAGCTTGGGGACAGTTTTTTGTTGCTGATGCTGTTATATTAAAGCTAGGGCCTTAACCAAACCTCGAAGAAAAACTGAACGCAAAATAGTCTTAATTGAAATGAACCAATATTTATGTTCATATTAGAGTTTGAAGTTGGATCCCATAGTTTGCTTCTTGCTCTTCCAAGATGCCAATGAGAAACCAAGGAATGTATCAATGCCCAATCAAACAACATCTAAGTTCTGGGATGACTGAACCACGGCAAGTCATTTTAACTTTTGTTTTATTGTGAAATGATGCATATCTGTTGATTTTACACATGGTTATGTGTTTTGAAATGTGGACTACTTGTGCATATTAAAATTGCTCTTTTTTTTTTAACGAGTATGATGAAAGACTCCTCGCCATGCAGCCTTCAATGGATAAAAAAGTACTTGCTATGCAAACTAAATTATTAGGTCCAGTGTTTACATCACATACAATCCACTTCTGGTAATTCATGTGAAAAGGACCTTCTATAATGAAATATAATCTGCGACCCTTGTCCTTCAAGAAATCAGAAGAAATCAAATATGTTCCTTTTTCATATTGCAGTATGAGAATCTAGGAAAGAGACTAGCACATGGATATCCCTATCTAGAGGCTGAAGTGGCATATTGTGCTCGCAATGAGTACTGTGAGTCTGCTGTTGACTTCATTGCCCGGAGGTCTCGGCTTGCATTCCTTGATACAGATGCTGCCAATAGAGCGTTGCCACGTGTCATCGAAATATTGGCTGCAGAGCACAAGTGGGACAGGGCACGAAAGAAGCAGGAAATACAGAAAGCCAAAGACTTCCTTGAAACCTTCAAGTCTTCGAAGAATGCCCAATTCCATGATGGGAAACACATAGGTGAGTCTTCAAATGTTCTTTTCCACAATTGCCTTTTCCTGTACTATCTTATTTTCCAAGAACTTTGCAGGTTAATAATTTTCAGTGGCCAACAAGAGAGAATCTTTAAACAATATTTTGGCATGTTTCTTTCAGGCTCATGATTTTGGAATGGAGTATGACATGAGCATGGGGAACTTTTGCGTCTCCACTAAAGCAGCAAAGGCAAGCTAGCGACTGTCACTTGATATATGCATAGGGTGAAGGGTGTCAGAGCTTTCTTATTTGCTTATCCGCAATTTCTCCTCTATGGAATATGACATGTAAATATAACATGGAAGGTCTATGTTATATTTGCAATTTTCCTAAGTAATTATGTGGCAATATTGGGTGATACTAATTAAAATTGGGATTGCCTTCTGGCACCCCATCTCAAATAAATTTAAGAAAGAAATGGACCAAGCACATTGCTTGAAACAGGAAGAACTTCCTCCTTGAGGGGTTGGCTGTGTTCAGAGTGCACAGCAAGAGAGTAATGATGATATCAGAGAAGTCTCCAAAATCTCTAACTTGTGAAACTTAACTCACAGATGGAATCAATATTTTGTTTCAGCGAGCCTGTTGTTGATATTTAGCTGTGATGAAATTATAATAAATTTTGGAGTACGAAAGAAGGTTAACCATCTTTCATTTGCCTGGCCAGATAGACTTGGACATTGATTTGTTTTTTCTAATTATTGTTTTCGTATTTCATGCATCTCATATAATTGACAAGCATATGTTGTCATTTTAATTTGAGAACGTGTTGGTGTACAAATGAGTAGGCATATGCTGCTTATAAAATCACAACCACCACTTTCCCGAAAATTGTAGTTTCTTTAATTGAAATCCTGGTTGTCCATTTTTGAGACTTATATAAAACGGGCCCAAATTTTTGTGACATTACTAGTAGAACACCCCACAGCGTTTCATGAAAACTTTTGCATCGATGCAACAATACACGAGAACGTCGGCAGTTAGTCGCCTTCATGGCTGTAAAGTTGGGAAGCATTGAAATATTGTTCAGAAAAGACATGTAAGTAAGCTTTCCAATGGACAAGGATCTGTAGCTGCTTTTCCTCCTTTGGAGTGGATGAACTAATGTGCAGAGTAATTCACAGTACAATTAGATTTCTAAGCGATGAAGTCTCATGTTCCAATGGGCAAGGATCTGAAGCTGCTTTTCCTCCTTTGGAGTCGATGAACTAATGTGCAGAGTAATTCACAGTACAATTAGATTTCTAAGTGATGAAGTCTCATGATAAATTGATTACATGCACATATCTCATATGCTTAAACCAATACAGGTTGGTTACTTTCTATAATGGACCTATATGGCAGTGTAGGGCATTGGGGAAGCTATGGATTGCATGTGAGGTTCGGGCAAGTCAGATGCACCTTTGAGATTAGAAGGTTTATCCCCATTGAAATATGAAATTCACATGTTCAGCAACTATGACATTTGTGCTACAGGTCTCGATTAAGCATCCAAATTTCTTTTTGGGAGCATCCATTGTTTTAAATGTGATCTGTTCTCGTCTTCCCAAAGGTTGGTTGGATCTTGCAATCTAAATTATTTTGAAAATATGAGATCAATGGGACAGTTCTGGACTCCTAAGAATTTATTGCCTATCATTGACGTCCTACTGACCTTGTGCATTTCATTATTGTCATCAACTTGCCGTGTGTGGGCATAGGCATGCCAGAACAAGTGTGTGGGCATAGGCATGCCCGAACAGTGAGAGGTGGAGGTAGCATTGTTTGTTGAGGAACTTAAGAGAACGTGGTTTGAAGCCCAGCTCATTGAAACGGCCCCTAGGTACTGAAAAGGATCCATAGTCATGATAGGTGAATACAAATTATAAAGTTCAGAATCCATGTGTTATTGCTTTTTAGGGCTTGAAAATTAATAAAAGATGCCAATAAGAGGCACCTAGAAGTGGAGTTTAGGACATTACATACAACTTCTCCACAAGAAGAATCTGGCCTCCAAACATTATTATTTTATTTTTTCTAGGAAGGATTCCAAATTATTACCATAATTAGGGTTGCTCATGGTGCAGTGATTTGTAAACAAAATAATGAAGTTGTAAATATAGTTTAGGTGTGCTATAGCGCTTCCAAATATTGTTAAAATGTTTATGGGGTCATTGTGAGTTTCTGTGTGGTTATCACATCACCATTTTGTAGGACCTGAAAAGGCCTCATGACTCGCCAGGCTTCATGGGGCGTGGGGTTTTGGTCTTTGAAGCCAATTGGTGGTTATCATTACACTGATCTATTATGGCCCAACAAAAACAAAGGCAAGTATTGGTAGAAGGGCCTGTACTTGTTAAAATACATGCCTTTGATGTGCTAAATGTGTAGTGCATTGGAAAAGTGAAATAATGCCAAAGATTGCGCACAATAGGGCTTGGTAATCGGATAGATAAGTGAGCCACTTGACTAAGATCGTAGTAATTTATGAACCTAGTGGTGTGGACTTGATAGTTGGGTTTGGGTCAGGTCCAGTTCTAGCCAGACCAAACCAGGTCAATGTCGGAAGAAATATGATAGGGTTGCTGATGTAGCACATTACAATGAGACTATTTACCTTGGTACATGGAGTTCACAATTATTTACATCCAATGTGAAATCTGATAGCTTAGGTGTGTTACAAAGTTCGAGAAAATTTCTTTTGAACATTGAGCTTGGTCAATAAAATTAATGCGGCCACCAAATTTCACATCCAACGATCAAGATTAATTGTGACTACCTCTCATTGTATACTTTCCCAAAGGAAATCTCTCTTACCTTTGTTAGCATGCTATTTTTCTCTTACCTCACTATTTCCGTGGCTCATACGTCACACACTCTCTCATATCCATTTATGTCAGTGGCACACCAAAACTTCACAAGAGAATCCAACAATCTTCATTAAGTGAGGAATCCAGACTTTTTTTTTTGTTTTACCCGCTTTCATCTAATGGGGAATCTAGAGGTTTCTTGAGTTGCGAGGATGTTTCTTTCTAAGAGAGGGATTATGCATTAATTCCAATAGCTTCTTCATGTACTCTGATCTTTTACCCCTAACATTTTTCTGGAATAAATGGCTTTTTCTTTTGACGATGCTTTTGTACAAATAGACACCATCTCCTCACTCCTCTTCAAAATTTGAGTTCATTTTTCTCCACTTGCTACATCATCTTTGAATAAATGACACTTCAATATAATGTGCTTAGTCCGACTGTGAGAAAATGTGTTCTTGCAATGCAATTGCTTGTCACAAAGTTCGATCCCATCATTTTGTCTTCTTTGAAATCTTCAAGAATTCTTCCAACACAGTGTGCTTGGTAAACCATAGTTGCTGCTGCTACATATTCACCTTCTGCAAATGAAGATGCCATAGCTAATTACTCTGGTGCGTAAGGTGAAAGCATGCCCACTATGTTTGATATTTGGTAGATTTGGCCAGCTGCTATCTGAGTATGTAATCAACTTTGAATCTTCAATTGACTTGTACCATTTTCCATAGTTTATTACCCTATATAAGTATCTAATTACTGTTTGGCAACTCCCAAATGACTTTGGCTTGGATTCTACGTGAATATAGCAACTCCCAAATGAGTTTGGCTTGGATTCTACATAAATATAGGAAGCTAACTTGCTGTGAATATGATATCAGGTCTATTTGTAGTAAGATGCATTAAACTTCCGACTAGACGTCGATGAACTAGAAGATTTGACTTTTTAGTTCCATCTTTAACACATGGTTTTTCATTGGCCCAAAGGAGTATGGATATAGTTGCAACTAGACATTTGGAATCTCTTGAAAATAGTTCAGCATGTTATGTTTTGTATACAACCTTGAAGAGGTGCTAAGTTGGATATTTAAAGAATAAACAATAATAGAAAATGGTTTCCACCCCAACAAAGCATTTTAAAACTAAACTTTAATGGAAGTTCACTTAGGAATCCAGATCATGTTGTGATTAGAGGGATACTACAGGACACTACAACCTCCTAATGGTAATATTCTGCTAGAACACTCCTAACCATGTGGAACTACTACAACAAATGAAGCAGTGTTGCAAGGTTTGAAGTTAATAGAATAATTATAGTATGGTTCAAATGCAATTTGATGTAAAGGGTGTCTAATTTTTTTTATTATATTTTTAGATATTAAAATTTGTTTTAGAATATATGATCCTATTTATGTTTTTTTTTTTTTACGTATAGAGAATTTAGGGGTAGAGTTGAAAAGTTTAATTTTCAAAAGATGAAGATTAGGATTTAATATTGATTAGGTTCCTTTAGACAAAGTTAGGTTTTAGGGTTTTCTTCTAAAACTATGTAAGTATTGGATAAAAAAAAATCATAAAGAATAATTTATTTAGAGTCTTGGAAAAAGATCTTTTTAAGGTGGACTCCCATGCAAATCTCAAGAGATGGCCAAATCTTTTGAACTTTAGGGTGGACTTGTCTACGGACCTAGAGAGAAGTTACATTTTATTTATTTATTTTACTTTTTGGTTTGTTTTTGTTCTTTCCCATCTTTCCTACATTAATGGGTAGTAGAGCTTCAGAAGTTCCATCCATTACAACGGCACCAAAGCCCACACTTTTGATTAATGAAATTTTGTCACAAATTGTGGAGGTTGTGAATCAACATATTAAAGATGTTATAAATCAAAGTCATGGAAGTTATTCTAGTTAAGATCTGCAAACTCCAAGAAAAGATTAGCAAAATTGAAAGCCTTATCAATTGTTGATAAGATGGTGCACGCAATCCCTTAGATTCGGTACTAAATCTCAGCCTAGGGATGAATCGAGCTCCACAATTAACTCTAGGTATCATTTCCATAAGTAATGAACAAATTTTGAGACAAGAACCACGACTAGAGAAATGTCCATGTAATCTTGCATCAAGGAAATCTTCTTGAGTTTCAAGAGAGTTTGAGAGAGCAAGGCAATCTTCTTGAGTTTCAAGAGAGTTTGAGAGAGCAAGGCAATCTTCTTGAGTTAAAAGAGAGTTTGAGAGAGAGAAAAAAACTACGGTGACATCCCAAAGTTCCACCGCAAATCTCATATTAAGTATTTGATTAATCAGTTTATAGAAAAAGAGAAAGTACATAATAGGCGTATGCGTCAACCAAATCTTTTGTGAGTTCGGTTAAATAGGACATTTCAAGGATAGGTGGAAGATTGAGCAAATATTCAGTGAACAATGAAGCACCCATTAGATAATAAGAAATATTTTATTGTGATAAAAGGGAAGAGAAATTATATTAAGAAAGAAAAGTTAGAAAAAATTTATTATTTGTAAGAATTTATCAAAAAAGGTAATATTTTTTTTTAAATTATATTAAATACTTAATCTTTATATTTTAAAAGATATCTAAAAATAGCAAAATGACTCAAGCATGGCATCTAAAAGCACAAAAAAATCAGTAACAAAAATATTAAGGGCTATAAAACCGATTTCATAATCTAATATTGTATAGAAAGGTAAGCATGTGGTAATGGAAAATTCAATAGGCATAATTTTAATTTTTATTTAATTCATTCTTCCATTGGTTGAGGAGTAATAAGTTGATCCACTCCATTGTTCATATGTGAACGCCCTGTTTAGTTTCGTCTAACCAAATCTCTCCCTACTAAAAACAATTCTCTTACAGTTATCT